TTAGGTAACATTCTCAAAGCCCATAAGAAAGCCATGGAGAAAAAAAAAAGCAAGCAAGCAAGCAAGCCAGCCATGGAGCTGGGGGTTGGGATCTAAGCTGACTCCAGAGCCTCCACACCCCACCCCGGTGGCACTCCCAACGTAAAGAATAATTAAGAATGTACTTTGCAAAGCATTAAGGTATCCAAAGTTAAGGTGTTTTCCCTTTCATCTGCTCCCACCTACAAGAGCCTCCAAGAGGCAAAGATATCTAACTCTTTTGCTTGCTTCTTTCTACTGTCCGATAATCACCTCAAATCTCCAAACGAGAATCTGGAAGAGGAAAACTCAAGCCTCTCTGGTTGGTTTTCACAACAGAGAAGCTCTGGGTAGGTTCACATAAAAGGCCCATTTTCGGCCAACTGTGAATGTTGGATGCTTTTCTCCTGAAGAGAAAAAATGAGTGAGATTCTAGTCCCTTGGAAGATCCAGCTAAGTCACCTTATACAGCAGGAATGGACTCCATGAAATAACACGGACAATCCCTCTCTCCAGAACCTTTGCCAGTCCTGGCACAGGCTGGTCCTTTGGAAATACATCACTGAACATTCCCAACAACTCACTTCTTCCACCTCACTTTGATTGATCGCTCATTACCCACGTTAGAACTGCCAAAAGAGGCAAACTCTTCAGCTCGTTTGTCCCATATTTGCATGAGTTATTATGCGCTGAATGTTCCGCTCCTTTGAACTTCAAAAGAGCTTCCTGGCCTCTTTGACTGCAACTTTAACAACAGAGCATAATGCAGTTACAGAAAGACTTTTTCCCCCTGGCTGTAGACCTCAAACCTTGCTGATTCTGGACACAGACTTTTCGATAAGCCACACACGGCTCCGTCACCCATTGCAATAAACCATCAGGATTCTCTGGGTTCCTGAACTCATCTTGTCTCCTGAGAGAGCAACATAACTACAGCTAATTAGCCACTAGCAAGTGGCAGCATCCAGCCCTCCCTTTCCTGGTGAAACAGCTTTCTGCAAATATGGCCTTTTCTCCAGACCTCTTTAGACTCCTCTATACCAATGGAGTGAGCATCTTTTTTTTTTTTTGAGTGAGCATCTTTAACCAAAGGCATGACTCCTCCTTCCACCCTGATGCCCTAGACAGGAGGGCGCAAGCAGGCTGCAGAGCATCTGAATTGATACAGAAGCTTATACTGAAACCAACCCACAAAGTGTCAAAAGCCTTGGCTTCCTTGTGTACAATGGCATCAGGCAGCAAGGAGAGATGTGAGGGTTTACAGCCCTTACACTTTTATGTTTCCTGGAGTTATTGCAGATTTTTATCCATGTTTTAAAAGTCATGCTTGCCAACTGTGGAAATTCCAGAATGAACAGAAGCACAAGGATGAGCAAAAAGAAGTAATGAACCTTCCACCCAGATTTAAAAAAAAGTCAGCTCCCCATAGCACACCATCGATGACTATACATTTCAGATGGAATGGAGAACTACGGGTAAAACCCCACATTATGAAAGCAGTAGTAAAGAAATATAATAGAGTAAGTGGTAAAGACCTCCCTAGGAATAAGAAGAGATTCAGAAGCCATAATGGAAATACATAACCGTCCTGACTACACAAAAACTTAAAACCTACATTTGGGAAAATCTAAATTAAAGTTTAAAGCAAACAGCAGAGGGGGAAAAATAGTATTTTAAATACCAAAGGTTGGGATGCCTGGGTGGCTGGGTGGTTGAATGCCTGCCTTTAGCTCAGGGCATGATCCTGGAGTCCTGGGATCAAGTCCCACATTGGGCTTCTCACTCTGCCTAGGCCTCTGCCTCTCTCCATATCTCTCATTAATGCATAAATAAAAAATCTTTTTTTTTAAAAAAAGTAAATACCAAAAGTCACTAACAAGGTTCGAAATAACAACATGTTAATAAATAAGTTTTTCCCAACCACTAAAGTCAAGCAACCTAACTGCAAAATAGGTTGCTCACTGAAGAAATACAATTGGATGGAAAACTAAATGCAAAGATACACTAGTAATAGGAAAAGTATCACAGCAAAACTGAAATCTAATTCCCCCTATTAAATGGGCCCCAAGATACAAAGATTAATTGTAATTTTTGGTGAAGGAATTAAAAAAGGACACTCATACACAGACAGTGGAAGCGTGACCTGACATCAACTTTTTTTGAAGGACAATTTGATGGCACTTTACCAAGGTGAAAACCAAACAGCCACTCTGACAAAACAATTCCTCACAAATACTGGCCTAAGTGCCCTAAGGTGTTCATCAATGCCTTAGTTGTGAGAGCAAAGCCTGGAAACAACCTCAATATATACAACTAGCGACTGGTTAATTAAACCGTGGCATGCTTATACAACCAGATAGCACGCAGGCATGAGAAAGAATATGGCACCATTATGTGGCAAGGTTCTGACATGGAAGGATGTCCTAGACCGTACCTGAAGAAAAGGTTACAGAACACTACATATCATACCCCATCTTTGGAAAAGGAGAAACCCTACAAACATGTATGTGTGTTTTTATGACACAGAGAGAAGAGTTTGGAAGAATACATAGCAAATTATTAGTCATGGCTACCCTTGGGAAGTGTGTTGATAACTGAGGGACACGCATCTTCATAAAGCCCAGATACTCTCAGATCATTTTGCACAAGTATTATTAATTTTAAAATTTAAGAAATACAAGACACCTGGGTGGCTCAAAGGTTGGGTGTCTGCCTTCGGCTCAGGGCGTGATCCTGGAGTCCGGGGATCGAGTCCTGCATAGGGCTCCCTGTATGGAACCTGCTTCTCCCTCTCTCTGCCTGTGTCTCTGCCTCTCTCTCTCTGTGTGTGTCTCTCATGAATAAATAAATAAAATCTTTTAAAAAATAAAATTCAAGAAATTTAAAAAGGAGTTAATTCGGCATTTAGCAAGGCTCTCAAATTTGTAATATGTGATGTTTTTAATGGTAGCATGGTAGTACATTACATGGATCGTTTATGTAACCATTCCCCACTAGACTGACATTTCCATTGCTTCTAATGTCTCATTGTTAGAGCTGCAGTACAATCTCCGTGCATGCATTGTGTGTGTGTATGATTGTGTGTGTATGTGTGTGTATCAAGGCAACATACAGACATCATATGCTTTGAGATTTCCCTTTTAGTGGAGATAACTTAGCACATGTCCTCGAGACAGTTAGCTTGGGCGTGGCCACACAGAATGGCACTTTGTGGCCCTGAATGAGCTGTTCATTCAGGGAATAATTATGCCCTTAGCCTCATCTGACTGTGAACTTGAGCCACTAGAACAGAACTGGGGCCCTAGGCCACCTTCTATATAATTATTCTGACACCAACTGAGTAACAAAAGGGCTTGGGACAAATTCATAGGTAGCAGGACACTTTAGAAAGTGATAGCTTGGGGCCTGTAAATGCTTTTGAAGTCCTATTTTTCTTCGGTTTGTTGGTTAAGCTCAAAGTTGCATGGACTGCATTCCTCAGTTCTTCATACATATGGAAGACTTCCCAGAAGAGATGGCTTCTAAGAGTTGCAAGCTTCCCCGTGATGCCAACAGAAATAGGTCATAAGGGAAGTTTCTTCAGAAGAGAGCAAGGATCTTTGGCCCAGCTGGCTTGTAAGCAGAGCTGAGAATGGATGGACAATGTTTCTATCACAGCCTCTCAAAGAAGCGCTTCCTGATAGAAGAAGGAGGTCAATTTGAGGAAGAGAGGAGAGAGAAAGAGGAAGGGAGACTGATGCAGGTTTCCTTGCCAATAACTGTGCCCTGCCAAATTTCCTTCCCATTGCTCTAGATACCACCATAGGTCACTCATTCATAGGAGCCCCATCAAGAGCACCCCTTCTCCCAGGCAGAAGACAGAGATTACTATGAAAAGCACTGCGGGTCAGAAAGACACCTAATGGTGGTATGAATCCGACACCAATTTTCCTGCCCCCAAGCCTCATGCCTGCAACATTCAACTTCTGTTGATAATGGAGAGAAATGTTTAAGTGATGGGCTTCAGATGCTGCTTCAGCTCCGACCAAGAAGATTTTCCCAGTTCCTCCTCATGAATAAGTTCAGTGGAGCAGAGAATGAATGCCCCTCTTGGACCAGCTCCATTTTGAGCTTCTTTTGATGCAGCCAAAGACGGGAACTGAAGCTGTCGCTTTTCCTTCCAGTTTAGAGCAAGGGTCCGCCCCCAGAGAAGGCTGCAAGTGGCCCCAAGAAGGTGAGGCTCGTCCTTTCAGCAGAAAGCTCCTAACCAGAGCAGCAATGTCAACGATTATGCATAAATCTCCCAAATGTGGTGGCCAGGAGGCTTAATTGTCCCCCCCCACCCCCCTGGCCTTGCTGCCACTCGGCTTTCTCCAGTGTGTTAGCCCATCACACGGATCGCTGACTTTCTAGAAATATTCCCTGGCTTTGCGGGGACGTTCTTTCAATAAACGGCATCCAATTTGTTCACGGTCCCTGGAATCTCAATTTCCTCAAAGGATTTCTCATCTGAATCCAGTTCATGTGAAGATTTTTTTCCTTCTTTATTTTGTGGCATAAGGGAATAGGCAGAGCCTGCTTGACTTTTTCTTTTTCTTTTTTTTCTTTTCTGTGTTTTTTTTTTTTCATAAACTAAAAACCTTTGCTGAAGAGTCTGAAATTTGGGAAAAAATCCAGCTCATCTGTCAGATATTTCTAGAGTTACGTAAAATGGAATGATATTTGTACAGTTTAGAACAGGAAAAGGAAAATAGGCTAATGTGTCATGTGTTCTAGGAGATGAAAACTATATGATAATCAGAAAAACAGCCCCAAATTGAGTTGGCCCGATTCAAAGCTCTTATTCTTTTATCAACTCGTGCATAAACCAGTAACATTGACTTTCTCCTCCTAGAATAATGGTATGGCCACATTTGAGCTAAATCACCATCCCTACAGATTATAACCACATTTTCATAGAAATTAGAAGAAAGTATCCTGTTTTTCAAACTCAAGATACTTACGTTTCAGTTGCTCTGTTTTGCTTCCTTCTAGGAAAAGAAAGAACAGCAACAAGGAGAAGATGTATTTCATGCCTTCCATTTTCCACTTTTTTCTCATCCTGGCCACTGTAAAAGGCTACTCAAAATTTCAGGGCCCGGTGTATTCAAGCTGCTGGGAAAAAAGCAGAAAAAAGAGACTTAGGTCCTCTGAAACTGACTGAAGATCACCAATGCTTATGCTTTTAACTTGTCAGGGGGAAAAATATGCTGGAGAATTTATGCACGTGTAAGCACTGTTTTCCTGTGTAAGAAAGAGAACTTGCCTCTCCTGTCTTGCAAAGTTTGGGGGGGAATTCAAGCAGATGAGCATGCATTCCTATCCACTGCTAAGGCTAAAATCCTTACAAGCAAGTCGTAGGAAAATAAAAATGAATATTGAAATCATCCTTTCTGGGGATCCCTGGGTGGTGCAGCGGTTTGGCGCCTGCCTTTGGCCCAGGGCGCGATCCTGGAGGCCCGGGATCGAGTCCCACGTCGGGCTCCCGGTGCATGGAGCCTGCTTCTCCCTCTGCCTGTGTCTCTGCCTCTCTCTCTCTCTCTGTGACTATCATAAATAAATAAAAATTAAAAAAAATTATGAAATCATCCTTTCTAACAGAATTAGAATTGATTTCTCAAGAGATTTTCTTTGGGAGAAAAGGGTTTGCAAAACGGCTCCTTTGGCAACCAAGACAAAAATAATAGGCATGGGACCCAAATACTTCCTGAAATGAAAAGTTAACTCATCTCAGCTTCAAGACTACTGCTATGATTAATCCTTCAGGGATGAGGCATAAATTGGTCAATGTTTCTCCTGTGTCTTCTATGAGATCTATAAAGATCCGCAGTTTGGTCACTTTTGATGGAAAAGATGGATGTTATTAGCAAATGGATACAATTAAACACCTTGATGGTTCAGACATACTGCTCTCACATGAAATCTACTGAGAAATGGAAATTTCCAGTGGGCCATTTTTAAAAGACATTAGGCAAATTTAAATAGACAATGTGTTCACACTCCACCACCATGCCAAAGACCATCAAAACAGTGACCACTCTTAAAAGTTTGATATTTGCATTTCTAGTTGAAGGGGTGGAAATCTTCAACCTTTTGAGCCTTAGAACATAGAAAGATTGCTATAGCTCAGGTCCTGCCACAGGTCATTTCCATAGACTTCAGAGTCTGTAACACCCTTCCAACAGATGATCTGAAAATATTTAAACGTTCAAGAAACACCATCTTTTAATTCGGGGTTAACCCCAGATGGGAAGAGAAAACACTGATTGCCCTTTTTATGATTTTATTTACTTATTTGAGAGCAAAAGCAGGGGGAGATGAAGAAGCAGGCTCCCCGCTGAGCAGGGAGCCCAACTCACAGCTGCATCCCAGGATCCCTAACCTAAGCTGAAGGCAGACGCTCAATTGCTCAATCGATTGAGCCACCCAGGTGCCTCGCATTGATATCTTCTGAGGAGCCAACCTAAATCTTAAGAATAAAGATCTGGCAGAAATGCAAGATGATCATTCTGGAAAACTGAACTGTCTTTGGGCCGTGATGCGGATGCCATAGCTCCTACTTCGAACGTCACTAACTTGTCTGGATAACTGGAAAGCCATTGTTTGAAACTATGGCTACGCAGCCAAAGAAAAACTGATCATACAGAATCATGTGCCACGATTGATTTGCGGAACCCACGTGTCTTCTCCACCTCCTTCCCAAGATTGTGATCCAGCTTCAATCACTCAGAACGTCTCTGTCCTCTGAGGGTGACCAGGTTCCCTTGAAGCAAATAATTTCCATGAACAGTTTAACACAGTTGCCCAACCCAGTGAGGCTCTTTCTGAGCCTCATTTAATAAGCTTATCTCCCAAGCCTTCGAACGAGAAAGATTTTTCTAACTGCCGAAATCCAATTTATCACAATCACATATAGATCTCAGGGAGTAGTTCTCAAACTGCAATTTGCGGGTCTCCCCAAGCAAGAACCAACAGGGTTGTTTTTCTTGTACAATGGCTGGGCGATTTGGCGAACAGTAGCATTGCTTCATAACTCAAGCTGGCAAGAAAACGGCTCTCAGAATTTTTTTGCTTTTCTTGGGTCCCAACTAATGTAATGAGCAAATAGAAAAGTTGGTGACAAGAGAGTAATTAATCTCTTTTGGCGTTCCTGTCATCTGTGTGGCCTCCCAGGCTGTGACGAAGAACATCAGAAAATGAATCGCTTTATAAATATTCACTTTTGATTTACAAGATCTGAAGCCCTGTCTTTGTATTCAGTGCAGAAATATAAACTGAGGAGAATTCTCTCCCTAGGACTCCCCCCCCCACCCCGCCCTGTTCAATTTCTCTTGATCCCTTTAACTTTTTCTTTTGGGGGAGGGAGGTGCTTCAAGACATTTGTTGGGCAGAAAGCAATAAACCTAAGCAAGCATTGCTCAGCAAACATGCCGACTCTTATACTTGCAAAGAGCCAAAGTGTCCTTAATTTTTCAAATTATACTTTGACCCAGTTAACTGGAGTTATTTCTGCATTAACTCTCTGCTTCACACAGGCTGTTGTGCCATTGAACTCGCACTGACTCTTCTACAGTTTACTTAGAAACATAGCCACCGACATGTTTTGGGGGATCCAGGCCCCCTCCCCCACAAGAAAGCAAGTAAGGAAACAAAATCCTGCAACTAACACTGGGGAGGAGTGTGGGGAGGCAGGGGCTTTGCAAGAGAACAAGAAACATGTCAGAACCTAAAGAAGTGTAATCCATTAAGGTACCTCCATGAAACAAGCATTCACATAATTCATTTGCATCAAGCAAAGGGACCAAAGGCTCCTTGCGGGGCTGGGACTGCCAGGCCATCAGGGCCATCGAGTTGTCAGAAGTCCAGACCTTCTTAGAAGAGGTCTCCTGGATAGAAGAGAACCAAAGAGGCATTCCCAAAGGAAGGCTAAGGGATGGGCACATCAGCCAGTTCTTCTTGGCCCACAGTGTCTCTTTAATCCTCCTGAGAGGCCTGACTGACCTCGTAAATTCACATTCACTGTCTCCTGTGGTACAGCCCCCTGGGGTAGCATTCTCTCTGGGACAAACAAGAAGACCTTGGGGTCTCGGGCCCCCGTCCATCTGCTGAAATCCTCTCCCCACTCCGCCACCCAACAAGAAAAGCTCAGCTCACTGGTGGTGGGTTTCCACCAAAAAATGCAACCCTATCTAGCCCAGGGTGTCTGTGTCTCAGAGTCAATGCCTTCACTGCTGCTTATGATTGACAAACAATGCCTTGCATTTGGCTTGCAAAACACCTTGCTATATCCATCATTTCATTTTATGCCCCACAACAACTCCACCTTCAAAATGGGCACCCTGGAGCCCGGAGAACTCAACTGCCCATTCTCACAGAGTTAGTGACAGGGCCAGCAGGGAGGGTCTGGAAGGCAGGCTTTCCAGGCCCTAAGCTCTGGCAGTACTCCCTTGCTTCCTGAGCCTAGCGTCTCAAGCTCTGACCCCAGAGCTCTGGGCCGGAAAATGAGACATACCCAGAGGACAGAGAAGCCTCTCGCCCCCGACCGCCCTGTTTCATTAACTTTAGCACATATTAATCACCCGCTGGTCCAGGGTACTTCAGCAAGCCAGAAAAAAAAGGCTCCGGACACGGGCAGTAACTAAGAGGACTGTGGAACCCAATGGGTGGCTACCCAAGTGGCCTCCCCTGGGCGCCAGAGCATGAAGATAAGTAAGCCCAGCGAGGAGCGGCAAGTGATGAGTTCGAATCCGGGGTCCCTAATCTGCGCCGGTCCGTAGCCGGCGAGCCCACCTCCAGCCGGGCGCCAGCAACTGGACCCCAGAGCGAGTTGGGGCACCCTGGGAGGACCGTCCAGGGGCGGCTTGGGCCAACAGAAGTCACCCCACCTGTGCAAAGCATGGAAAGGAAGGCAGGGGGAGCGGGCATCAGGCACTGCTCACTGACCTGGCCACTGGCCTGCTCCGTCTTCCACGCGTGCACGCGCTCCGAGCTCCCCGGGGCGCTCCTCCGAAGTCTGGGGCTTGCAGGTTGTGGCGAGAGCTAGAGTGCGCACGAGGGGGGGAGGGGGGACTCAGAAGTGGGTGGGAGGAAAAACATCACCGCCCTCACACCACGAGGGAGCAGCGGCTCGCTCGGCTCCTGGAGGCAGAGCCAAGGCGCGGGCGCGGCGGCGGCCCGGGGCCACCTGCCCGCCCGCCGCCCGCCGCTCGCTCCCCACTTGGCCGGAGAGGCCGGCCACCCGGGCGCAGGCGGGAAGTCCGCGGGCACGCAGCCGCCACCAGCCCGCACCCCGTCCCCACCCCGGCACGGCCGCTTTATTCCTGCTCCCCAGGCCCAAAAGTTAAGAAATCAGGAGAAAGTGTGAGGCTCAGCCGGCGACTTTCCCATCACGCAACGCCCCCACTGCACCCCCCTCCTCTGGCTAAGCCTGCGTTGGGGTCTTAAAGGGACCGCACCTCTCCTCCGGCCCCTCCTCCCCCTCTGCGCTGGAATGCACCCAGGAGCTCCCCACTACTCGCGCGGGCCCTGGAGACCCCGGCCACCCTCCGACCTCCGTGTCTGGAAGCCCGCAACCCCTCTCCTCCGGCACAGGGCCCCTCTGGTGCACGTGGTCCGGTCCTGAGCCGGTGCGCGGGACGAAGGATGAGCTGGCCTCGCAGATTATGCCCCAGCAAACTGCTTATCATTTCGGGGCGTTTCCCGAATCCACACTATGGGCTAGAAAAGTGGCAAAGTGTTGGTGTCCTTAAAAGCAGAGTGGAGATGGGTGTGTGTGTGTATGTGTGTGTGTGTGTGTGTGTGTGGAGGGAGAGGAAACGATTTAGAAATCTGCTTTCTCCCACAAAGAAGGTCCCCGTGCTCCCTGAAAAGGGCCTTTACTGTCAAGGGTTTTGAAGAAAACTCTCGGAATAGCCCACCACAGCCACCACTGTTGTAGCAGTCCCTAGGATTCCAGTTGAGCCAAGGACCCAGCCTTGAAATCACAATAGCACCGCAGATGCCTTGGTGAGCCTGAGACAGACTACTGCAAAGTTGTGTTTATTTGATGAGTGGCAGTTACAAAGAATTCTCAGAATCCTCTAAGGGCCCCAAAAGCGCTGCATTGACAGTACCATTTATATTTTAAGCTCCTAAATTTGGAAGAGAACTACGGGGCTTATTATTATTATTATTATTATTATTATTATTCATAGAACTGGATCATACTGATATTTCTAACATCTATGTATTTTTATAGGTTACAGAGTACTCTCATATACATCATCATTCCTTTTTAACCCCCCACGACCAACTGTGAACTGTCTGTGGCCTCCAGTGTCAGAATCCGTGGGGATCTTCTGAACCATGAAGCTCAATATCTCCACGTCACTGATGAGGAAATTAGCTGGCTGGAGGGAGATGATGTATCCAAGGTCATGCAGCTGGTAAATGACATATTTGAGATTCCAAGTCAGGTTTCCTGACTTTCATCCCACACCCTCTGATTGTTACTCCAGCCTGGAGATGAGGAAATGGATGCTCAGGGAAATTGTAGCTTGCCCCCAAATCACATATCAGGGACACAGAACAAAGGAAAATTAAAACAAGAATAACTGTCTCTGGAAATTACCTCCTTTTTCTTTCTTTGGAAGTGTTAATATCATTCAGCTAGCCCCTGCATTGCTGGAGATGTTTATTTCACTGTTAACAAAGGAAAAGGGGCCCTTTCTAAAGTGTTGCCTTCAGGGTTGAAAATGTCTAGCTCCATCCCCCTGTTTGAGTAGCCATACATTGCCACATGCATTCAATTTTGGGCTGTAGTATATTAGTTTGAACTTGCTGATTTGTTGCCTTATAACTTTTCATGCCATTTAATGTGCTGATGTTTTGTCTCACCAGACTGTGAGTTCTTCAAGTCAAGGACTAGTTGTTCGATTTCCTTTGTATCTACGTTCCCCAACACCCATCATCACTGCCAACCTGATAAGAGACTGTGTATTCAGGAAAATGGGTCTCAGGAAAAACAGCCTGAGACAAACATAATCCCAGCATTGAAAATCAGCAGAGTTACTGAAATTTAAAACATCTATTTGAGGGCACCTGGGTGGCTCAGTTGGTTAAGTGTCTGCCTTTGACTCAGGTTATGATCCCAGGGTCCTGAGATGGAGCTCCACCTGGGCTGCCTGCTCAGTGGGGAGCGTGCTTCTCCCTCTACATCTGCCTCTCCCCCTGCTTGTGCTCTCTCATGTTCTCTCTCTCTGTCAAATAAATAAAATCTTTAATAAAATAAAATAGAGCTCATCTATCTGGCTACAATCACTCACTCACTCCCCGTTACTTGATGTAATATTCCAATTAATACATAATAAAACATCCCCAAAACCTAGTGGCTTAAAAGCTTAAAAAATTTTTTTAAAAAGCTTAAAACAATATAGAGTGATCAAATGGTTCTTACCAACTGGGCAGTTTTTGCTTATCATCTCTTACATACTTGAAAACTATATAAGGCAGCTGCCAGAATTTTCTGAAAGGTTCTTGATTATTGGAAATGCTGGTGGCCCTTGTATTAGTTTGTCTGGATTTCTGAATTGGGAACTCCAATTTGGGTGAGTCCAAACCTATACTTCCTACCAGGTCTTATTTAAACTAAACTGAGGATTTTCTCCATACCTAATTTTTTCCCTATCAAATGAGCACAGATCATGACTTACTCCTTAAAACTTTTTATTTGGAGATAATTGTAGATTTACAATTGTAAGAAATAATTCAGAGGGATCCCGAATACCCTTCATCCCCAATGGTAACATCATGCTTAGCTGTAGTACAATATTGGTATATTTCATCCACCTTCTTCCAACTTTACCAGTTTTGCATGCATCCATTTGCCTGTGTATATAGTTATATGAAATTTTATCACATGTATTGCTTCATGTGGCCACCATCACAGTCAGAATACTGAACAATGCCAGCACCACAAAGATTCCCAGTGTTACTCTTTCACAGTCCCACCTAGCTTCTCTCCCTGTCATCCAACTCCCTGCCAACCACTAAACTGTTCTCCAACTCTGTAATCTTGACATTTAGGAGTTTTACATGGAATCATGCACTATGTAACCTTTTGAAACTGGCTTTTTTTAACTCATCAAAATTCTCTGGCGACCCATCCAAGTGGTTGCATATATTAATAATTCATTCCCTTTTTATGGCTGATTAATATTCTGTGGTACGGATGTATCACAGCTTGTTCAACCATTCATCAATTGCGAGACACTGGGTTGATTCCAGATTTTGGCAGTTACAAATCAAGCTGCTACGAACATATGTCTACAGATTTTGAGTGAACATAACTTTTTATTTCCCAGGGATAAAGGCCCAATGGTTGCCATTATTTTTAATTTTATCCATTCAGATAGGTGTATAGGGATAGCTCATTGGGTTATATTTTTACATTGCCCTAATATCTAATGATATCTCCCATCTTTTCATGTATTTATTTGACATCTGTGTATCCTCTTCAGTGAACTGTTTCCTCATTATATTTTGCACATTTTTTTTCATTGGAATGTTTTCTCACAGTTGAATTTTGAGAGTTTTTATATATTCTAGATACTAGTCCTTTGTCACATAGGCTATTTGCAAATATTTTCTCCCAGTCTGTAGTTTCTCTTCTCATCCTCTTCCCATGGGCTTTCATAGAACAGAAGGTTTTAATTTTGATGAGGGTCAATTTATTAATTTTTCTTTTTGTTTTGTTTTGGTTTTTTTCATTTTTCTTTTTGTTAATCGTGCTTTGATGTTAAGAACTCTTTGCCCAGCCCTAGATCTCAAACATCTTCTCCTATATTTTTCTTCTAAAAGTGTTTTGGCTTTAAGTTTTACATTTAAAAAATGTAACTTAGGGATCCCTGGGTGGCGCAGCGGTTTAGCGCCTGCCTTTGGCCCAGGGCGCTTTCCCAGAGACCCGGGATCGAATCCCACATCGGGCTCCCGGTGCATGGAGCCTGCTTCTCCCTCTGCCTGTATCTCTGCCTCTCTCTCTCTCTCTCACTGTGTGCCTATCATAAATAAATTTAAAAAAAATTTTTTAAAAAAATGTAATTTAGTTTATTCATTTAATCTCTACACTCAACGTGGGGCTGGAACTCACAACCACAAGATCAAAAGTCACATACTTTTCTGACTGAGCCAGCCAGCCACTCTTTAAGTTTTACATTTAAATCTATGATCCATTTTGTGTTAATTTTTACACAAGGTTTGAGATTTAGATCAAGGTTCGCTTTTTTGCCTATGGATATCTAATTGCGCCAGCATAATTTGTTGGAAAATATATTCCTGCCATTGAATTGCTTTTACACCTTAGTCAAATATCAGTTTGGCATATTCGTGCAGCTCGATTTCTACTTTCTCTACTCTGTTCCATTGATCTATGTGTCTGAGCTCCACGAACAACACATGGTCTTAATTATCGTAGTCACATAGAGGCTTTAATATCAGGTAGAGTGATTTGTCCCATTTTATTTTTTGTGAAGATTGTTTTAGCTATTCTGGGTCTCATACCTTGCTGTATAAATTTTAGAATAAGCTTATCTATGTCTATAAAAAACATGACTGTATTTGGATCAAAATTGCATTATACTTATAAATGAACTTGGGGAGAATTGACAACTTTTCATGTGTTCGATCTTTCCAGTCCCTGAACACAGTATGTCTCTCCATTTCTTAGGTCTTCCTTGATTTCATTCATCAGTGCTTGCAGTTTCCAGCATATAGATCCTGTACATGTTTTATTAGGTTCACACCTACATATTTTATTTTCTTTGGAGCAATTGCAAATGTTATTGTGGTTTTAAAAAATTTATTGATTGGGGGATCCCTGGGTGGCGCAGCGGTTTAGCGACTGCCTTTGGCCCAGGGCGCGGTCCTGGAGACCCGGGATCGAATCCCACATCAGGCTCCCGGTGCATGAAGCCTGCTTCTCCCTCTGCCTGTGTCTCTGCCTCTCTCTCTCTCTCTCTCTCTCTCTCTCTCTCTCTGTGACTATCATAAATAAAAAAAAAGATTCCACATAGAAGTAAGATCATAGAGTATTTGTCTTTCTCTATCTGACTTATTTCACTTATCTTAGTACACTCAAGGTCTTTCTGTGTTGTCACAAATGGCAGAAATGAATGTGAAAGTAGAGGTATTCAGAATGATGCC